CCCCCAGGTGCCCCCAGGTGCCCCCAGGTACCCCCAGGTGCCCCCAGGTACCTCCAGGTGCCCTCAGAGGTACCTCAGGTACTCCCAGAGGAACCCCCAGGTACCCCCAGGTACCCCCAGGGCCACCAGGTGCCCCCAGAGGAACCTCCAGGTACCCCCAGGTACTCCCAGAGTACCCCCAGGGCCACCAAGTACCCCCAGAGGTGCCCCCAGGGCAGGTGTGGGCAATGGGGGGCAGGTGAAGGCACCTGGCCCCTCCTGGGCTGGAGACCCCAAAAACCCCTCCTGGCCACAGCCCAGCACCCCCTGGTCCAGTTGTGCACCCCCAGAGCAGGAGCCACCATGGGACAGCCAAGGGTGGGGCCGGACCCCAAATGTGGGTCCTGACCCCAAAGGTGACTCCTGACCCCAAAGGTTGGTCCTCACCCCAAATGTGGGTCCTGACCCCAAATGTGGGTCCTGATCCCAAGGGTTGGGTCCAACCCCAAGGGTGACTCCTGACCCCAAAGGTGACTCCTGACCCAAATGTGGGTCCTGACCCCAAAGGTGACTCCTGACCCCAAAGGTGACTCCTGACCCAAATGCGGGTCCTGACCCCAAAGGTTGGTCCCGACCCCAAATGTGGGTCCTGACCCCAAGGGTTGGTCCCAACCCCAAAGGTGACTCCTGACCCCAAATGTGGGTCCTGATCCCAAGGGTTGGGTCCTGACCCCAAAGGTGGGTCCTGACCCCAAATGTGGGTCCTGACCCCAAATGTGGGTCCCGACCCCAAATGTGGGTCCCGACCCCCACTCCCAGCCCCAGCCTCCACCCCAGAGTGCTGTGGGTGAGCTCCCCCGGTTCCTACCAGCAGAGGTACCGTGCTGCTTCTCTGTTGCTGTTTTTTAACATTTATCTCTACCAAAAGAAGTGTCTACGCTGCAGGATGGAGGAGGCTGAAGGATAATTAATTAACATTAATTAATGCTAAATATTGCAGGATACAACTGACCTTGCTGGCTGGTTGAAGCCCTAGGTTTTGGATTTACAGTGACATGGATAACAAGCCATTCCCAGATTTATCCTCTCCCCTTTGGTGAGGTCCAGAGCAGCATTTTGGAATTTTTGTTCTGTTTCAGTGTGCAAAAAACCATGGCTGTATGGAAAAGAAAGTCAAAGTTGTTAAACAGACACACACAATTCATTCACCTGCTTGTTCTCTTGGGGGATTTTGTGGTTTTAGAGTTACACTGAGGTTTTGTCGGGGTTATTTTTTTGTTGTTGTTTTTCTTCTACTGGCAGGTTTATGGAAGATTCTCTATGAACTGGGAGTACTGGTGCCGGGCAGGAGCATCACTAAGGTTTCTCTCCCAAATATCCAAAGTACAGTGTGCGGTAGATACTCAGTGGAGTGCCTCGAATTTATGGCTTAACACACCTCTGTGGACAGGTGACAGCGTGTCCCCTGGTTGTGGTTCCTCATGCATGGTCCCTGGTCATGCCGTCATGCAAAAATCTGCAAAAATCTGCAAAAATCGCTTCTAGGCGTTAACGAGCACTTTGATTTTATTTCTGGGGGGGGATCAGCCCGAGCTGGCTCCAGGCTGAAGGTACCCGAGTGCCCCAACTCCCAAACCAAGTAAAGCCCATGGAGAAAGTAGAATGCAAATAATAAATCTCAAATAAACTATGGTAACTCAGTGGGCTTAATGGGTGCTTTGTTTCTTTTTTTCTTTTTTTTTGTTCTACTTGTTTTAACTCTTTTTTTTCAATTTTTTTCCTCTTTTTTTGTTTTAATTTTTTTGCTGCTTAACTAAATGCAAATCTAGTTTTGCATGAACAAACCCATGGACATTGTGACTTCTGGGTTTTCTTCTGAGAATAATCAACAAAATGGGAAAATAAAATCCATTTGGGGCTGCTTTGGAAAATACATGAATCCCAGCAGCGGGTTTTGTTGCTCTGAGTGTGTTTGTGTGTGTGTGTGTGATTTATTTTGCTTGTTTGTCCTAAGTTGCATTGACTGATGTGGAACATGCAGTATCCACCTGCCCAAACAATAGAAAATCCATTTTTTTTCCTTTTTTTGTTTTTTGTGTTTAAATGTTTGTTTACAGGGTCCTTTAAACAGGTGGTAGGTCACTGCTTTAGATGCAACGCTGTCACACAGTAAGCAGACTATGTTTGGTATAAGATCTTCAGGTAAGTGTCTCCACAGCTCTTCTGTATTGATATATTTCAGGAAGTTTGTAAACAATCTTTTTTTTTTTTGTTGTTTTGTTTTTTTTTTTTTCCACTTGCAAATATTTTAATTCGTACAATTCTACTATTTTTTGTTTTTTTGTTAATTTTTTTTTTTCCCTCTCTCTCTCTCTTTGTGTGTGTGTGTGTGAATGTGTGTGTGTGTGTGTGTGTGTTTCTCAAGACTTGGCCACCCTGCCGTCCTTTTGTCTCTTGGCCTTTTCTCTCCTGCCCTCCTCCGCCCGCTGCTGCTTCTCCTTGTCGGGTTTGGTGACGCTGTCGTAGGAGGGCAGGGACGCCGTGGAGGGCGTGCCCTCCTTTTTCTCCCTGTTGGCTCCCCCGTTCTCCAGTTTGGTGGCGGCAGGCCTGCGGCTGACGAAGCCCCGTCGCGCCAAACGAGCCCTGTAGGCCCTCTGGATCACCACGGCCGACACCTCCTCCTGCTTGCGCCGCAGCGTGGTGGTGATGGGCTCATAAGACACTTTGGAAGGGTTGGAAGCCACAAACCTCTCCTCCATCTGCTGTCTCAGGATATCCAGCTCCCCGCTGTCCCCCAGGACGCGTTTGGTGAAGGCAAACAGGATGTCCAAACAGTGGATCCTGTCCCCACTTACCATCGGCAGGTCCATGGCGATGAGCTCGATGGTGTTGGGCTTGGGCACGCGCAGCGGGTGCTCCAGGGCGTCGGCGAAGTCCGCCAGCTTGCTGTACTCGATGAACTGCGTGGCGTCGGGGTCGAACTTCTCCCAGATCTCATAGAAGGTCTCGAAGTCGTCCTCGCTGAGCGGGTCGGCGCTCTCCTCCGTCGCCACGCTGAAGTTCTCCAGGATGATGGCGATGTACATGTTGACCACGATCAGGAAGGAGATGATGATGTAGCTGACAAAGAAAAATATCCCCACCGAGGGGTTGCCGCAGTCCCCCTTGAAGCCGCTGCCCGGGTGCTCCTTGTCCAGGTCGCAGTCCGGGGGCCGGTTCAGGATGGGCAGCAGGAGCCCGTCCCAGCCGGCCGACGTGGTGATCTGGAACAAGCAGATCATGCTGTTGCCAAAGGTCTCAAAGTTGAACATGTCGTCGATGCCGGCCTCGTGCTTGACGTAGGCGAAGTTGGACATGCCGAAGATGGAGAAGATGAACATGACCAGGAAGAGCAGGAGGCCGATGTTGAACAAGGCGGGCAGGGACATCATTAAGGCAAAAAGCAGCGTGCGGATCCCCTTGGCTCCCTTGATCAAGCGCAGGATGCGGCCGATGCGAGCCAGGCGGATGACTCGGAACAGCGTGGGCGACACGAAGTACTTCTCAATGATTTCAGCCAGGAACATCCCTAGAGGAGAGAGGCAACACGTGTGACAGGGCACAGGCACAGGCTGCTGCTTCCTCTGGGGCACGTGGGGTTCTGCGGGGGCATTTTCAG